GCAGGTTGACTAAGGTTGGCGAGGAGCTCACAGGACTCCAGAAAGGCGTTGAGAGGTTCAAAAATCCATTGTCCAGGTGCTGGACCTCCTGGCTGCCCGGCCGTCTTCTCTCTGATCCATCCTGGGTTCCGGTGGAGCTGTTTTTCTTATGCGTGAACTTGGCCTCTGTCTCTTAGGGGTCCTCAATGCCCCTACTTAGGCTTCGAGCAGCTTCTGTACCTTTGCCCAAAATGTCATTACCTTTGGCATCCTAAGCCTGATCACGCTGACGAGCTGGTTACCAGCTGCAATGCCCTGGCAAGGTGGTGGCCAGTGCAAACCAACACATCAGAAATGCCTTCTCTCTGTCACGACTGGGGACCCGAGCCACCAGGAGCATCACAGAACATTAAACATCCTGGGGCTAGCCTCATTGTCCCCAGCGGGGTGGGGGGGGCTGTCAATACTGCCGACAGCGTCTTGACAAATCAGTTTCATAATAGCTGACAGAGTTACTCAAACAAACGTTTGCGATGTGTGATTCTAGAGGACAGAGGAAGACTCAATGACAATTCTTCCCCATTCCCCCAACAGTGGCGGAAACTTCTGACACATCAGTAAATATCAAATGGCAGCATTTGATATTTGGGTTGGTGCAGAATAATCGAAGTCCTGGGCTTCCTGGCCTCACATGTTTCCTTCTGCAGGGAGGAGCAAGTGACTGCCCCAGGCCTGAGGGTCTCTGCCCCCGGCAGAGAAATCTAAATGGAAATCTCTGTTTTCTGGTGTTTCTTCTATGTCACTATGGAAATCATGGCTGAGTTTTATCTTTGTGTTCTGCTGTCCACATCACACCCATCACGACCTTCTCTGGAAAGGCAGCATTGCTGTGAATACAAAATGTTGAGCTGGCAAGAGCAGAGTATCCCTGGGTGTCCAGGAAAAAGGAACTGTAGCAATACCAACAGCTACTTTCATTTCTATGCTGTGTGGGTTCAGACCTCTGAGAAGCAGGCCGAGCTGTGCAAGCAATTTAATGGGGGGGAACGAGCGCTTGGGAGGAGAAGCAGGAGGAGCCAGAGGAAGCTGGGAGAATCATCAGAGGGCAATAAACCCAGTACTCGGAAAAGGGGAAGAAGGAAGGAAGGTGGGGAGAGGAGTGTTAGGTTGCAGTAAAATGTTAAGAAAATTTCAAAGAAGCCAATCAGGGAGACCCTGATTCTAATTTGTCGTCAGAGAACTCTATCGTGTCTCCAAGGAACAAGGTGTTTTGTGTCTGCTGCTCAGTCATTGACAGGGACTGATGAGAGGGAAGCAAAGGGCAGCCTCCTCTGTCTGGGAATCCTGGAGAGACTCCATGGCTGCAGGCCTTGGCAGTCACCATCCTGGTGGTGGAAGATCTGGGTGGTGCATTTTCACACGCCCCTTATCACACCCCTTTTCCATACCACACCACTTTTTGAGGATGCTGTTAGTCTCTCTTTAAGGGGAAACTCTGAAGAGCAAGTTAATTGGAATGAATGACAGTCCCAGCCCTTGCTGCACTTGACCTTGGGGCCATAACTATTATTCAGCCTTTACCCTCCACTATCCATCCTCATTATCCAGACCTGCAGGTGTCTGGATTCCTTAGAGGCCTAATCTCTTGGTTATCATAACCAATGGATTACTCCAAAAGATCGATGGGCACCACATGTATTTCTCCCTGTTCACACTTTGTAAAAGCAGCCCTGCCTTCTTCTACTAGTCGATCAGGGTACTTCTAGTAACATTACACGACTTCCATTCCACGACTTCCATTAACTCATGATAACTGATCAGCATCAGTTACTACTGCCAGGACAGTGACTCCTCTTCCGGGTTGGTCCCAGAACTGTGGGAGTAAAAAGTGCCCTGGAAGTGCCCATAAGCTTAAAATTGAATGGGACCCTTGCTGTGTCCCTTGGTAAGAGTGTGCCCACTTTGGGCAACAGGACTCCCCACTCAGCAGAGCTGGAGGGCAGGTGGGATTTGACACCCACATGCATTTTGGCTAACCTTGACTAATCACATCGTTGATTAAAAAATATACATCCGTAGTTAAGCATCAGAGAGGGTTTTTGTGGGAGTTGAACCTTGGTGACCACGGCTAGGAGCATTTCATGGCCTAATTCTGCCCCTGCCCCTGGGTGGGCCTCAGTGTCCTCATCCATAGAAGGGAGAAAGTGGGCCTCCCCGGTGGCGCAGCGGTTGAGCGCTGGGTTGCAAGGCTCCCCGCGACCTCCACGGCGCTGGTTTGATCCCTGGCTGCTCCCCGGCCACCGGAGGAGGGTCCCACATGGCGCGCAGACCTCTCCTGCCGCCCGCTGCTCCCCTCAGCAGTGTACTTCGGTCCTTCTGCCTGCTCTGCTCCCCGCTCTGGCTCTGGTGAATTCTCTCGCCCTAACGCACTTCTGACTGTACTCAGTGCATGTATAAACAAACAAACAAACAAATAAATAAATAAAATACGTGCCTCTTAAAAAAAAAAAATCAAATTTCTAAAAAAAAAAAAAAAAAAAAAAAGAAGGGAGAAAGTGCTCATGTTCTGAGTTCTAATGTTCTGAAACTCAGTTGCTAGATACAACTCCTGTCTCTCCTCCTCTCTCTCTAGTCTCCCTCTGCCTGCACAATAATTTAACCTTCTACTAGTTTGGGGCAATAAGGCCTTGCTTGAAAAGGATCAGAACAAAGTTAGGGAGGACTTTGAAACTCCTGCAAATAGGCAGGGAGGGGTGGTGAGAGAGAAAAGGCAGACACAGAGGAGGTATCTGGGAGGATGACTCGTGTGGAGGAGAAGGAAAAGATGGTTCAGACGGAGGAAACAGAGTCCGCAGGTGCAGAGGCATGAGAGAGCAGATGTTCTAGGAATACCGGCTGGGGTCAAGGCCACGTGGGAAGAGGGAGGGCTGAGTAAGGCAGCGGGGCTTTGAATGTCCCGAATAGGAGGGTATATTTTTCTACCCTGGAGGTAACAGGAAGTCACTGGCAATTGTATGCAGGGGAGTAACCTCATCTACTTTATATTTTACAGAGCAGATGATCACATACAACATGCATTAGAAAGAAAGTCTAGAGAGAGGCAGAAAGGAGACAAGTTACGAACTGAGACTATGTTCTCAGTAGCAAAGGTCACAAACTGATGGCCAGAGGCCATATTTGGCCCCAAAGCCTTGCATGTGGCCCATTCAGTGTTTCTGTATTTGGGGAATTACTGCCAAACATTTTCAATGTTGGAAGATTATATGTTCATATGGATTTCCTGTTTCTCTTGAAAAATTATTGGGGTGGGGGGAGCAGTGGACATCATTTTCTAGTTTGCTTCAACTCCACCACTCCCTGCCACCTTCCATGCAGCCCAGTCACTAACCTGGGTGACCTGGAGGTACCTGAGTTAGCATTCCCTGGCTGGAAAAGTTCTAGAGATAGAAACAGTCAGGGCAGTTGGAAAGGCTCCGCTGGGTGGAGGAAACAGCTTGAACAAAGAGAAGAAAGAGAAAAGGTGCAGTGTTTGGGGGGCTCTCCTTGGGGCAGGAGTGTGGCTGGGGCTGCAGCATGAAACTGGGACAGACAGGACAGGGGGCTCGGGGGTGGGCTAGCCGGTCTGCTCTCATCTCCATCCAATGTCCAGTTTCAAGCAGACACGCCCCTTCACCTGGGTGGAGGCTTTACACACGCCGCTCCCCCGGCCTGGAGGGCCCTCCCCGCCCTCCGATCTGGTGGGGGCACCTTTCACCCCACTGCCCCCCGCGATGAAACAGCCCGTTTACAGCAGGGGTGACAAAGGCGACCTGGGGTGGACTAGCTCCCCCAGGTCTCGGTTTCCGACCTCTTTCCTGTCAGTTCTGAGGTTCGTTCTCGCTCAAAATAGTACTGCTGGGTGGGCCGGCAACCCAGGCCGGCAGATGGAGGACGGACGGTGGCTGCCTCCCCGATCGCAGACCCAGGACGCGTCCCTCCCGGCGCAGACACGCAGGCCCCGCCCCACAGGAGCAGACCGGGACAGTCTGGGGCCGCCCGGGCCCGCGGGGCCCGAGGGCCGGGCCAGGTGACCCCCTCAGACTCCCCCGAGCCCTCGCTAACCTCGTTCTCGCGCCCTCGTGGGTTCTGACCCAGAAAAGACGCGGGTGGAGGGCAGCGTCCAGCCCCGGCGCTAGGACCCGGCGCGACCGGAAGGCGGGGCGGGGGGCCGCGCGCTGCTCCCCTCGCGCGGGGAGAATCTGCGCCCCGCGGCGCGCGGCGGGGGGGGGGCGCGGCGGGGGGGGCGCGGCGGGAGGGGACGGGCGCGCGCCCGGGGAGGCGCGTGCGCGGGGGCGCGCGCCCGGCGGGGCGGACAAAGGGGCGGGCGGCGGCGCGCGGGCCGGAGGGCGGAGCCGCGGGCCGGCGGGCAGGTGCGCGCGAGCCGGAGGGCGGAGCCGCGATGCCGCGATGGAGCGCAGCCCGCGCGGTGGCCGGGGCCGGGGCCCGAGCGCCAGGCGGATCGCGAGCCGGAGCCGCAGCCAGAGCCCGGACCAGGCCGGGGGCCGGGACCGCGGGGCCGGGCTGCTCGTAGCGGCGGCGACGGAGCCCCCCAGCGGCTGAGGGGCGCCCTCCCAGCTCCTGCTGGCGGCCGGGACTCGGCAAGTCCCCGCAGCCGGGAGTGCGGGATCCCCCACCACGTTCCGGACCCAGAGACCCCCCCAGGGAAGTGGGGGACCCCCCTCCAGATCCAACACAGAGCTACTCCCCAGCCGGGGAAACTGGAGACTTCTCCGTATTCAGAAGACCGCGACCTCCCTACGGTACCGAGAAGACTCCCCCTCTTCAATCTGGGCCCCCCAAGACCCAGGACGCAGCGATCCTCCCTTCCCGGATTGCGGGGAGCCCCTCTCAAGATCCTGGTTTTCATTACAACTCCACACCTCAAGACACGAAGACAGCTCAGAACGCCCCTAGATCAGGGGGTCCTAACCCCCCCATTCCGGTAAACAGAAACCCCAGATCTAGAGACCGAGGACAGCTAGAGCTATTCCTCACCAGCAAGAGGCCCGGGGACCCCCCCTCAGAGCTCCGGGACTGAGGCCACCGAGCCTCCCGCGCCGCCCTGCGCATCCCAGCCCGCGGCCGTGGCGCCCTGTGCCCCTGGGGCCGGGCGGACGGAGACCGAGACGGCGCCCAGGCCCCCTGCCGCGGCGTCCCCGCGGCCCCAGCCCAGGTAAGCCAGGCCCAGGTGAAGGGCAGCAGGTGAGTGGCCGCCGAGGGCCCGAGCCTGCAGGTGGGGGAAGCACCGAGCGCGCACTGCCCCCTCCCCAGCGTCGCCATGGAGCCCGGCTGAAGGACGTCTCTTTGTGTCTCGCTCGAGGAGCCGCCCCCTCCTCCTCTCCCTTCCCCCACCCGACACCCTAGCCCTGGGGTTTGGGCGCTGCTCGCCGACCCCACCAGGGAGCCGTGGCTAGTCCCTTGCACCAGGGAGTGGGGGAAGAGGATGAAAAGCCCCCCCCCCCGCAAAAAAAACTGTGAGCCTGGAACTGCTGGACCCTCTGTCCACAGAGTGTGTCTGCATATGCCCTTCCCCCCCCCCAGGCAGGATGAGTTCTCAAGTGAAGCCCGCCCCCCAAAAAAGATTTGGGGGTGTCCAGAGATGAGGGGGGCCTGCAGTATGTGCCCTAGGATGATGGCTGGGGCTTTGGGTGTGTTGTCTTTGTCTGTGAGAGGGCAGGGAAGGGGTGTGTTTGAGAGAATGGGTGGAAATTCCTATTTTTCTGTGACTCTGCTGGAGGGGGTCTTCACCCAGGCTGTACTTTGTGCAGGATTGGGAGGGGGCAACCCCTTTCCAAAGTGAGGCGCTGGTTTGCAGGGGGGAGGTGGGCCTGACCAAGAAGCCATTTCAGGTCAGGGCACCAATCTGTCCCCCTGTGCCCAGGGGCAGCAAACCCAAGGTCTTCCCTTCTCCTGACCTCCAAACACCCAGGGCCAAACCTCTGGTTGAGTCAGTGTTTTCTGGACAACCAGGCACTGTTCTAGGTTCTCTCTTTAGCTTTCTGGGCATTGTACAAAACAGTGTCGGGTCTGGGCCACAGTGAGATCCTGAACCCCAAACCCTGCAGCTTATAGGAAGACGAGAACCCAGAGGATGGTGTACCCTGAAATTCTGGATCAGAGATCTACGAAGGGGCTGGACTGTGCAAACAGAACACACTCTGGGCCGCCGGGGCTTCCCCAGCCTCTTCCCTCTGAGCCCTCTGCAGGCAAGCAGTGATGCCCGGGGAGGCAGGACTGAGTACAGCAGGTGGCCCCACCAGGAGTCACTTTGTTTGTTTATTCATTCAGCAAACCATTAGCTAGTGTCTGTGATGTACCAGCCACTGGTGTCAAGGTCTTTTCCCCACCTCATCTGATCCCCTTTTCTTATCTAGCCTGATCATCAGACCCCCAGGGCTGTTCTCAATTTGCTCAGGCCACACTTGGTTGGATCAGTTAAGGGGAACCGGTGGGGCCTAGCTGACCAGCTCTTGACCCCAAACCTGAAGCACCTGATCCCCATTCTGATGAACAATGGGGACCCTGTGCCTAAGCAGAGAGTCCCCCCATCTCTCCCCTCCCAATTCTAGGTGCCCCCACCCCCACATGCTGCTGGTCTTCACCCGAGAGGGAAGATGTGACCCACAGGAGAAGAGGTTGGGGATACCCCAAGCCAGACCTCTGGCAGCCCCTCCTGCAAACTCAAGAACAGTTGGGGTAGCCCTCCTCTATACCAGCTGTGGGGGAGCCAAGTGCCTTGAAGACCAGGTGACCTTGGGCAAGCATGTGGCATCTCCCAGAGTGAGGGTGAACCCCGCATTCTGCAGGGGGGCGGATGTAGACTGTTGGTGGGCATGATGGCAAGAAGCTTCCAGGTGTGTCCTCCCCGCCCTGAAGGAGTTCATTTCCCCCAGAGGATTCTAGGAGCCCCGGGCTTTGTCACAACCTCCAGGCACTGGAGCAGGGACAGACCGACAACAAAGAGCACAGAGAGGAGTCACTGTGGCTAAGGAAAACCATCCAGAGGCCAGAGGGGGCAGTGCTTGACCCCACACCTGAAGTACCTGATCCCCATTCTGCTGCACAGTTGAGAACCCTGAGCCTAAGGGTCAGGAAATAAGATTCCCCCCACCAACCTGCAAGGGCACCAACCTGCAAGGGCTCCCCATCGAGCCAGTCAAAGACCTTTGCATTATGGTCCTAAACCACATCCTACATTTCCTCTCCCTCCTCACTCACCATCCTCTGCTCTCTGTGTTTGCTCACTCCCTCCCTCCATCAACTGCTGTCTCCTCTCCCCTAACCTGAGAAGCCCCCCTAATGGATGACTCAGGAGCAGCACTGTGCCTCCACCGCCCCTTCTGACCTGACCTGGGCTGGCAGTGGCGCGCTGAGTTGGATTGGTTGATGGGTTGGTAGCTTGGAGTCCGTGGTTCCAAGGTCTACGCTGGCTGTGAGCGCGTCTCATCATCTAGACCCCGAGCTCCAGGAAGCAGCAGGTCTGTCCCATCCACTGCGCATTGGCTTCATCTAACCCAGTGCCCAGCATATTGTATAACACATGGTGTCAAGTGCAGCTTATAGGCACATTTTCTGGCTCCAAACAGTGTTGTTCCAATGTTTGCATTTGTTGCCAGTGCTAAAAAACAAACAAACAAAAAAAAGACACAATTTCACATACAAAGATTGAATTTTGGATCCTCTGGAAAAATCAGATAGGACACCAACCCCAGGCCAGAGCTGGAAAAGGACCACCTTCTTTAGAGAGCACTCACCCTCCCGCTCACCGAGGTCCCACCTGGCCCGTTCACTCATTTATGTGACTGGCTCACCCCTCCTGCAGGTATCTGGCTTTGCAGGATGAGGGCGGAAGCCAGAAAATTTTTGCTTGGCAGGTGACCTTCATCTGTGTGTGTTTTGTGCAACTGGGTGTTCCCTGCCTCCATCCCCATGGCCAAGTTAGAACACGCAGGGTAATATCCCTCCAGGGTCTTGAAGGCTAAGTAGTGGAGGGAACCTGAATTCCTCTCACCAGCTCATCTTCAGCCTGGTCCCACTCTCCACTCCAGACCCCGCCTTATACCCCGACTCCCGTTTTAGGATTCAGCTACCCAAATCCTGCTTTAACTGTCCCACTTTCAGTAGCAAAAGCCCAAGGTTCTAGAGCTTGCAGAGTCAGGACTCTTAGGGAGGATTGCTCACTGGGCCTCAGTTTACCTGTTTGTGCAGAACAGAATTAGACTAGAGGTTCCCTGAGCCATCAGCTTCCTGCTTACTCTAACTCTCTATGACTGAGTACAAAGTTCTAAGTTCTGGTCAGATAGGAGGGGGTGGGTCCTAGACTCAGGAGTCAGTCAAAAATATTGACGTCCTTTACACATTAATGAAAACAATGCGCGTTGCCTGGGCCAGGATCCCAGGTCCAGCAGTGGTATGACCAGGAAGGGAGTGGGCCATCTTCCTGGATGAAGGTCTACAAGCAGTCCAAGGTCAAAGTTGATGGCAGAGGACCAAGGTTGAGAGCACAGGCTCTGGACTCTGCCCGGCTTTCAGTCCCAGTTAACTGCTGTGTGACCATGGGCAAGTCACTTAACCTCTCTGAACTTTAACTTATGTGGAAAATAAGGATAATACCTACCTTAGGGTTATCAGACAGATTGGTCAGCCAAAGCATGGAAAGGGCCTAGGACAGGGCCTAGCATGAGGATTGTGCTCCGTGACCTTTGGCTGTTATTAAAAGGGACATCGGCAAGTATGTGACTAAGCCTTGGTTTTCCCATAGCTGGGCTGGGGAGACCATAGGGCTTCTGCTATCCCCACCAAAAAAGGAAGGAGGTATATGAGAAGCATACTGCATGGGGCTTAAGAGCATGGAGTTGCCCCTGCTGTGGGTGGGGGCAGGTTCAAGCCTGAGGGTCTGTCAGTGCTGGTTCAGAACCTTGTCCCACGGCTTAACCTGAGAACCTGGGGTGGTCTGGCCATCGTCCTGTATAAGACTCTCTTCCTCCTAGCTCTGCTTCCTAGGTGAGGGGCCCTCTGGGCCTGGGCTCCTGCTGGCATGGATCCCTGAGACTCTCTGCCCCAGGGTGATGGGCTCCTGGCCTAAGTCAGGACCAGGATCTCCAACAGACTTAGTCTTCCCCAAACCAGCTACCCTTCCCGGACTCCCCTTCCAGGTCCCAGTTAGACCTGGAGCCAGTTAAGCCCTTCCCCAAACCCTGCCATAGCTTGGCCATAGTCTGGAGAGGGGACAGGCCCAGACTCCCAGATCAGCGCCCCCTCAGGGAGTCACGCAACATCAGGGTTGGAAGGAGGCTGTGGGACATTTTTCAGTGTCCAGCACTCCATGCGGGCGCTGGATATCACTCTCGTCTATCCCTGAGACAGCTCTGGGTGACCCACAACGGGGATCTCAGCCCAGCTTTGTTCGTCCCCAAAGGTTTATGTGAAATTGGCTTTAGACGGCCTGGATTCAAATCCCATCTCTCCCAGGCACTAGCTGTGTCACCTTGGACATGCCCGTTGTCCGGTGCCTCCTTTCTCCTGCTGCAGATTGGGGCTAATAGCAGCTCCTGCCGGCTAGGAAAATGGCGAGGATTCAAGGAGCCTGTGACAGGGAGCAGTGGTAGCAGTGGCCGCTACGTAAGGTTTGCTCCTGCTACCTGTGCCACATCCTGCAGGGTATGCAGGTGAGCTGGTCCAGGCCAGAGAAGGCCACTGCAACCCTCCCAGTGCCAGTGCCCCTCCTTGTGACGTTACCAAGTCATGGGAGAGACAGTGAACCTCCCAACGACCTCTGCTGCCAGCGTGACTCTGAGGGGCAGGAGTGGGGCTGCATGAGACTGAGCCACCCCCTCTTCCTCCTGGTCAGAGCCCAAGAGGCTGCATAAAGCCTGGCCTGAGGGCGGCGCCGCTGGGTGGTCGGGCCACCCCTGCAGTAGGAAGGCTCCCACTGTCTTGAGCCGGGACTCACTGGTCTGCAAGGAGAAGCTCCTGCAAACAATGGGTGCCCAGGGGGCCTCTAGCCCTGACCCCTGGTGTCTCTAGGAGGAAAAGCGGGGCCTGCAGTTAACAGAGTTCAGCCCTGCTGTGTGACTTTGGGCAAGGTGCTTAGCCTCTCTGTGCCTCAGAGCCCCCTCTACGAAAAAGAGGATGGTACTAATACCCCCTGCCTTTTAGGGTCATTGTGAGGAT